GTGTGCTCCGAACTGATGGGGCTTTGCTGGGCAGGGTTCTGCTCATCAGAGGCCTCCGGTGGAATGGTTTTAGCGGTCTCCTTGAAGTCGCCGCTCGACCTAGAACTTGCTGAGAGTTCTAGCTTCAGCGCTCTCTTCCTATTCGCCTTTTGTTTGATTATTGGCATTATGGATTAGGGTTTTAGGAAGAAGAAGAGGGTTTTGAGAGCTTAAAAGGAGAATGAGGAGGTACGGTTATGGTGCAGAGTGGGGAGAGAAGAATGAGGGAGACGTGGATCTTAAAGAAAAACAGAAAGTTGTTATGGCCCATTAAAGAAAATATCTACCACGATTTTCTTCCAATTAATGGAAATAAAATTTCCTCCCAAAACAAAAAATAACATCCCCCTAAATCTCTAGCAATTATGATTTATTTCCAAAATTGAAAGTTTACTTACCTCTCTCTTTGGAAGCCGAAATTTGCTATAAATACCTTTCTACATGTCTGCCACGCCCTGACGCTCTCACCTGCCTTGTCCTTTCGTGTCAGCAACATCATGTCGTCATCACTGCATGCCCTTTTTGAAAGTTGTCCACTCAACCTGATTTTTAATTATTTCCCCCCAAAAACCAAAATGAAAGCCGATTAAAATTCAAAATGGCAGATAAAACAATTAAACATCTAAATTTCTAAATTCAAAACTAGGGAGCAATAAAATAATTAATCATTAAATCGTGCTCCCTTTATTTCGTTGTTGGTTTCTCAGTCCGTGGCCAAGTGATGAGCTCCAGCATTTCTCACTACGCTCTCACCAAAGAAATGCTTTAACCTCTGCCTGTTCACGGTAGATTCTCTTCCTGAATCCATTTCTTGTACCTTCACTGCTCCATGTGAGAATATATGTGAAACTAAAAATGGACCTGACCATCTCGATTTGAGCTTTCCTGGAAAAAGTTTGAGTCTTGAATTGAAAAGCAACACTTGCTGTCCTTTTCAAACTTCCTAGGATTGATTCTTGCATCGTGCCATCGCTTTGTCTTTTCCTTATATAACTTGGCATTTTCGTAAGCTTCTTTGCTTAGCAATTGTAAGCAGCGAACATCTCCTTCTGCAACATCATCCAAATTTAACATTTTCACAGCCCAAAAGGCCTTATGCTCCAGCTCCAATGGGAGATGGCAAAGTTTCCCAAAAACTAATTTGTATGGAGATCTGCCTAAAGGCGTCTTGAATGCTGTGCGATAAGCCCACAACGCGTCGTCCAACTTCATCGCCTAATCTCTTCGATTTGTGTTAACCACTTTTTCCAATATGCTCTTGATATCTCTATTAGATATCTTAGCTTGCCCATTTGACTAGGGGTGATAAGCTGTGGATACTTTGTGCCTGATGTTATACTTAGCAAGGAGAGATGCTATAGCTTTGTTGATGAAGTGGGAGCCTTCGTCATTGATCACAGCTCTGAGTGTACCAAATCTCGTGAATATTTTCTTGCGAAGAAACTTTTCTACCACTTTGGGATCACTATTGGCGCATGCCACTACCTCGACCCATTTTGATGCATAATCGACTGCTAATAAGATGAAGAGGTTTCCATTGGATGGAGGGAATCATCTCATGAAGTCCATGCCCCATACATCAAAAAGCTCCACCTCTAAGATGTATGTAAGAGGCATTTCTGACCTCTTGGAAATATTTCCAACTCTTTGACATTCATTGCAATGCTGCACTAGCTCATATACATCCTTAAAAATGGTGGGCCAAAAGTATCCGCTCTAGAAAACTTTTGTTGCTGTGTGCTGCCCTCCAAAGTGGCTACCGTATGGTGCCGAATGGCATTTAGCTAGCACCTGTCGTGCTTCAGCATTGGCGATGCATCTTTTGATCACTTTATCTTGGCCAATCCTATAGAAATATGGGTCATCCCACAAATAAAACTTACTCTCATACAAAAACCTTTTCAGTTGTTGCTTGTTCATGTCCGCTGACAGAATTCCACTAGCAATATAGTTGGCTAGATCTGCAAACCATGGTTCCTCATCTTCATTCAGAACTCCAATAGCCAACACTTACTCATCTGGGAAGGTCTCTCTAATTTTTGTCTCATGCTTGGAGCATTCTGGAGTAGGCAACCTGGACAAGTGGTCATCCACCAAAATTTTTTGTTCCTTTCTTGTCCTTGATCTCTATATCAAATTCTTGCAGTAGTAAGATTCAGCGGATAAGCCTTGGTTTAGCATCCTTCTTTGTCAGTAAATACTTCAGAGCAACATAGTTTGTGTAAACAATCACCTTTGACCCTACCAGATATGCTCTAAACTTTTCAAATGTGAACACTACAGTTAAAAGCTCTTTCTCTGTTGTGGTGTAATTAATCTGTGCCTCAATCAAAGTTTTGCTGGCATAATAAATTGGATGCAGTAGCTTCCCTCTGTGTTGAACAAGAACTGCTCCCACAGCATAGTCACTGACATCACACATTAATTCGAAAGGCTGATTCCAATCTAGAGCTGTTATTATTGGAGCATGGGTGAGAGCATACTTCAGTGTATTGAAAGCCTGCAAACATTCAGATGTGAAGTTAAATTCTTTATCAATCTCAAGCAAAGAACAGAGAGGTTTGGAGATTTTTGAAAATCTTTAATAAATCTACAATAAAAACCAGCATGCCCCAGGAAACTGCGAATGCCCTTGACATTCACGGGTGGGGGCAATTTCTCGATTGCCTCGATCTTTGGTTTGTCCACTTCTATGCCTTTGCTGGAGACTCTGTGCCCTAGCACAATTCCTTCCTGCACCATGAAGTGACACTTCTCCCAATTCAGGACTAAGTTTGTTTCTTCACATCTTTGCAACACCTTCTTCAGGTTGTCCAAACATTCTGCAAATGACTTTCCAAACACCGAAAAATCGTCCATAAACACCGCTCACTGATTCTACCAAGTCAGAAAAGATAGCCATCATGCACCTCTAGAACGTTGCTGGAGCGTTACAAAGCCCGAAGGGAATCATTCTGAAAATGAATGTTTCATAGGGACATGTAGAAGTCGTCTTCTGTTGATCTTGAGGAGCAATTGTAATATGATTATAACCACTATAGCCGTCTAAAAAGCAGTAATACTTTTGACCTACCAGCTTGTCCAGTATTTGATCAGTGAAGGGGAGAGAAAAGTGGTCCTTCTTTGTGGCTTTGTGCAGCTTCTGGTAATCCATACATATACGCCATCTAGATACTTTCCTCATGGGTATCAACTCATTCTTTTCATTCTCCACTATAGTCATGCCTCCTTTCTTAGGCACACATTGCACTGGACTTACCCACTCGCTATCTGAAATTGGATATATGATTCCTACATCTAACCACTGATAATTTCTTTCTTTACAACCTTCTTCATAGTTGGATTAAGTCTATGCTGGGGCTCTATAGAGTTCTTGCAGTTCTCTTCTAGCACAATCTTATGCATATAAAAGCTGGGGTTTATCCCTTGATATAAGCAATAGTCCATTCAATTGCTCTCTGATGTGCCTTGAGTATACTCAACAGCATCTGCTCCTTTTCCAAGGGTAAGTTCGCTGCTATGATGATTGGCAATGTCTCTGATGAACCCAGGTAAGCATATTTCAAATGCTACGACAATGCTTTAAGCTCCAGCACTGTTCCAAAACGTCTTCAATTTTTCCCTCTGGATGCATAATGGATCGATCCGCCAGCTACAATGTCAATGTTGTGGGCCTTGCTTCTCCAATGCCCAACTTGTTGTAAATTGATAACGACATGAGATTGATGCTGGTGCCCAGATTACATAAGGCAAGTCCTATCTATTGTCCTCCAATTGAAACTGGTAGGGTAAAACTCCCAGGATCTTTCATCTTTGTATGAATTTTGCTCGTGAGTATGGTACTGCAAGCCTTAGTAATTGCTACAGTTTCATACTCTCCCAATGTTATCTTCTTTGTGAGTATCTCTTTCAGAAACCTCACATGATTTGGCATCTGCTCTAGAGCTTCCACCAACGGTATGTTCACGTGCAGTTGCTTCAAGACATCTAAAAACTTCTTGAATTGAACATTCTGTTCTTTCTTCTGCAACCGTTTAGGATATGGTGGTGCTGGCCTATATTCTGTTGGGGCATTTTCATGCTCTGCTTGCTTTTTTTCTTTCTCGGACACTCTGTTATATGTAGACCTTATCTCAGGTGCTTTAGTAATTACTGGATTAACTGATTGATTGGGTGTGTTCTGAACCTCCTTTGGTTGTTAAGCTATTTGCTCTGGTGGGGTAGGTACAACTACTTCTGCTAGCTCACTGTCCTGTTTTGACTGTGTTTCTCCTTGGTCAACTTGAGTAGGTTCCTTGATCGCTGTTGGAGCATTTGGGTGTGCCAGAGGTAATGCTTTCCCACTACGCAAAGTGAGGGCCTTGCATTCTTCCTTACCGTCTCTTTTAGGCACTTCTGTATCGCTAGGCAATGCTCCAACTGGTCTGCTCTTCAAATCCATAGCTAACTGACCTACTTGCAACTCTAAGTTCCTTAATGATACAACATGACTTTGCACAGTGGCGCCATTATTGGCCATGTATTGCTTCATCAGCTTTTCCAATGATGCAAATGATTCTTTTGATTGCTTCTGTGCTACCATTTGTCCTTGATTCGCAAAACCAGGACAATAACTTACCTTCTGCTGAAATGCTGAAGCATTGGATGTTACAGTATTGTGTTTTCCTTGATTGCCACTCAAACTAAAATTGGGGTGATTCCTTAAGCCAGGATTCTACGTGTTCGAATACGAATTGTTTCTACTATTCTGCGGGTTTCCCAAATAATAAATGAACTCAAGACTTCTAGGGCAGTTGTTATAATGGTGGTCTCCCTCGCAGAAATAACAAGAAATCCCTTGAATTTGATTGACATTAGCCTTACCAGCTGATGCTCCAACTGAATTTTGCTGCGTCATACTCCTTGTTACCAAGTCTGTCAGATTCTCAATCTTTGAATTCAATGCAGTATATGATTCAGACTCAACTAGCCCCTTACTTGATTTTCCTTGAACAGCTATAGGATCAAACCATGATGATTGTTTGATGATATTCTTTCTATAATATCGAATGCTTCAGCATAGGATTTTGCTAGCAAAGCCCCATTTGCAGACGCAAAATATTCAAAAATGCATGGACGCAAAAATCCATGGACGCAAAATATTCTACAGTGAGAAGAGAGCAACTGTAGGTCTTTAGTGAAGTGACCGACAATTAACGAATGTTTATTAATATGGTTAATGAGTTTAATCAATTTATCTCGTATCGTTGGAGCTTCCGATCTGTAGGTCTATTAGGTCCCCTTACTAGCTCATAAAGGATAGTTAAGAATAGTTAGTCTTGAAAAGAACTTGAATTGTTCAAATTAGTTAAAGGGAATGAAAGTTAATTGTATGAGATGCAATTAATATAATGTATAATGATACATTATAATATAAAGTTAAATTTGAATTGGATTCAAAATTATGAGAGAGATGTATATTGGATTTGATTCTAATATGGTTAATTAATTTAAGTTTAATTTGAATAAATATGATTTAATTAAATTAATGGGATATGTTGATTAATTTTATTAAATATGGTTTAATTAAATTAATGACTTATGTTAATTTGGTTAAGTTAAATTTGAATTAATTTAATTAAATTAATAATTCTTTTTTTTGGAAATTAATTAAATATGATTTAATTAATTATTGATTTAATTAAGTAGTTTTAATTAAATTAAAATAAAAAGAAAAAGAAAAAAAATGGAAATGGGAGGAAAAACATCCTACTTTCGACCATTAATGGTGGGAAGTGGGGAAGCTGTGACTTCCCCACCACTCTTCCTCCCTTATAAAACGGAGGCTCTCCCCTTCCATTTTGTTCCCCCGGTTCCGGAGAAAATCTCTCTCGCTCTCTTGATTTCCCTTCTAATTATTAGACTGTTCCCATAAATTGAGTTCTTAACCTCCAGAGGATAGCGAGGAAGACTTTGTGGTGGCGTTGATATCTACATTGAAGAGGTGTCTTCAAAGGTATGTATCACTAACTTCTTTTTATTCATGCTTATATGTCTTTTCTTTGTTGTAATTGTAAGACAAGATCGAAGCACACACGTTCGCGCGCTTCCGCTGCGGGATCCGATCCCTTCAATTTTAACCAATTCCAATGGCTGAAATTTCGTTTTGACTGTTGCCTTATTGTATTTTGTTTGCCTAGATGTTGAATCAACGCGAGGTTAGGAGCATAGCA